ACATGGAATTCCTTCCATGAAAGAAAAAAATCGAATTAAGAAAAAGTTTCCTATATTATTTAATATGTTTTAATTAATATTCTTATATATTCAAATCAAAATTTTTCTTTCCATTTTCTCGATTTATCCTTTATATTCTTTTTTTTTAAATAAACATTTTATGCAGATCTATAAACTTTTAATTTTTCTCGAAGTATCCTCTTATCGCGTTAGTTGTTACATTATTTCACGAAGGAATTCACCACTCGCTAAATTTATAGTTTTGAGGCTTACAATTCGAACCGCTTTGTGTGTTCTCGTTATTTGAGGCAGAATAATAGGAACCGAGGGTAAAAAACCGAGACTGAATGCCAGATGTGTACCATACAGGGTTTCGATGCCACCGAAATCTCAAGTGTATGGTCTGCCAGATTTGAAAGAGAGAGAGAGAGAGAGAGAGAGAGAAAGTTATCGTTTTCTGATATAATATAAATCTAAAAAATTAAAGAGTATGGTAGATTTATAATAATACATCGGGATTAATGAGAAACGAAATATGATTTTTTTTAAATCGCTTACGCAGGTAATTTAGTAAAGAAAGAGAAGATGGAGATGATAAAGAGAGAAAGAAAGAGGAGCAGACACGGTAAAACGTCGGTGTAAATGAGCCTTTCTAGGAAGATGATTAGCAGAGGGACGACAGCCTCCGCGTGCGTTGCAGTTACGAAGTTAAACTTGTGATAACAGCTAATGCATTGCAAGAATTAAGTCCAGATGCGGTCAACTATGTGAAATCTCTCGCTATACATATACTTACTAACAAAAATTATACAAAAAAAATATCAAAATAGCCTATATTTATAGTCTATAAAAAATCAACTTTATGCGTAGTTTAGACAATAGTTTAAGCTTATAATTACTGTTGAAAAACTGCCGTTACCAATTTTTAACGAAAACTAATTTCTTTATAAAAAGATACAATTCGTAAGAAATTTAAGAAAAAATATGCCGCAATTTTTCAACAATTAAAACAATAAAGATATCATTGAAGATGAAATCGTTGATATTATTTTTTCTCGTTTCTGTCTTCGAAACGCGAACTTCCCATTATTCTCCGGAAGCGAATCGAAGATAAATCTTCCCACTTGCAGGAAAACGCCTACTCTATACGATAGAAATGTTTATGTCGCCGATAAAAGGATCGCGTTTCTCATCATTTCCTGTCGCTTTTGTGTGAATCACGAATCTTTTTAATGCGCTACGAAAGTTTTGACATATATAACTCTTATACTCTACGAGTTTTTATATAATAGAAGTTTATACCTGTCCCAGATCAATCGTCAGATTCACTTCATTATACTTCATCCCTCTGGATAAAGGCGGCGACTGCCACCAAGTTTCCATGCCATCGACGGCGTATTCAGGTGGGTGCCTCTTCTCGGGATTATCAGGATCACAATAATCGCATACCTGAAAAAAAGCGAAATTTATACACTATAATAAGAAGGAAAGAATCAGTTAATCGAATCTAATATAGAACATATAAAGTGTAAAGTCACCTTTTAGAAAATTTATAATCTATTAAATTCATGCAAAACATTCAAAACAAAATTTTATTTCTAATTTTATGTGTCGTGTAATATAGAGAAAATACATTTGAAAAAATAAAAACATAAACAAAATTTGCACGCATATATGTATTAGGATATAAGATGCACACATATATCTATTAAGATGCAACACAACAAAATTATAAACAAATTCCTATCTTAAATTTTTGTTGCAAATTATAGATATAAAGTAAACTTAAAATAAAATAAAATAATTTTTTAGACTTGTCTGTTATATTTTATTGATCTTTTGCCATATTATATTAAAATATTAAAAAGAAACATTTGAGTATAAAACTTTATTATTCAAAGCGTAATTTTAAGAAAGAATGAAAAGATAGATATGTGGAATAATTGTGAAGAGATTTTTCTTTTCGAGATCTATGTGGACCATCCGTGACATCAGAAAGTCTCTTAATTTTCGATGGATGAACGATCAAGTGTTATCGAGAGGTCATCCGTATCTTCCGTTTTATCAGACCTCTCGCTGCGGTTTCTTTTTCTTTTATTTATACAGAGAGGTAAAGAGAAGATGATGTCGTACACATTAATGCCTCGTGATCGAAATATTAATTGGTCCAGAATGATGCTGGACTAGTAATTTAATAATTATGATACAAGCTGGAATTATCATATATATATATATATATATTCATGATATAAATATCTATTCTCTATTCCTTTGAGACGATGAAAGATTGCCGTTACGCGTGCAGGAAATGTGATGTGATCCTGCGAGTTTATCGCATTCTTCTAACACAATTATAGATCCTGCGGACTGGTTCTTAGCCGAATCTTCCTTACGGGAGCCTTGTAATCGTTCTTTGTCCTGATTTGTCGACAAAACGCAAAAGTTAATATGCGAGAGTATTAATTTTCGGAGTAGCCGCGAACGTGATGATAATGCTCGAAGAGATTATAATTGTAATCCGCAGGATATACAATTTATACACAGTAGTGTTTTATCGAAAAAGTACTATGCTGTTTTTAATAAATATTAGTTTTGTATTTTATATACAAAATATATAAAATATTGATTAAATTTTTGTGGAAACAGTTTTTAAACTTCGTCAAATTTTCAGTTTTTAAACGTTGTCAAATTTTTATTAATAAACTCATATATATAAATATATACACACACGCGTGTGTGTGTATTCGCCATTCGATTGATAAAAGCTGATCTTCTATAAACGATTTCATTCATGACCCCCATTATAAACGATTATTCCTTATCGTAATTCTAAGATGGAGAGACTGAGAAAGCATGTTCGTCAGATAATTATAAATGTTTACACGAATGTTACATTTTGATGATATACATAGTTTCCTGTACGAATTAGAAAGAGAAGTAGCTGAGTAAGCGTCGAAACCGATAAACTCTTGGACTGATAGGATCTAATAATAATAGATATAGTTTGGTGCGAATATTGAAGACGAAAAATATATCATGATTTCTTCGATATACAAGAATATTCATTATAACTGATTTTGATTGTATTAATATACAAACTTATAAACTTTAGCATGTCATTTAAATGTTAATGTCATATTTAAATGTTAATTTAAAATGCGAAAGAAAGAGATAAAAATATGTGAATCTTTTTATTTATTTTTATCTCTTGATAAAAACTCGTATCGGCCTAATAATAATCGGTCAATTTATTAATTCATATATAAATTTTTATATATATGACATATTATTATAGAGATTATGTTAAAAATATTGAGATCATATATTGTTAAAAAAATATCCTTCACGATATTGCTTTCTTTCTTATCGCTGGCGCTTACCTGACCCTGGATCAGATTTATATCTTCGTCCTGATCGGCGTTCGCGCCAACAAGCTTACAATAAAGTTCCGGACCGGTGGTATCGACGCCGCACGTAGCCGAGGCGATAATTTTTTTGCCCTCGGCCAGGTTGAAGTACGGCGGCGTCAGGATCTCGCCCCCAGACAGCCGAACGACCAGCAAGAGGCCGGCAAGGATCGCCGGCAAGCGCATCCTGCCAGCGGCAGAAAGAGACAGCTCTCGAGTTCCTTCAAGAAATCGTTCTTCTCCTTCCTTTTTCTCTTCACTTTTGTCTTCCCTCCACGCACTCACTGCCACTTTCTTTCTCTCTCCTGTTTCTCGCGAGAGAGACTATGATGCTTGCGCGCCTTCTTGATGTCGACTGTCCGGACCAAACCAGAGTTTATCCAGTGCCGTCGACTCGCCGGATGTGAAGAACTCGGTGGGGGTGGAAGAAATCAGTGGTCTTCAAGTCGAAGCTCGGGGTCCGTTTGGAAATTCGAAGCAAGTTCGGGCACTTTGAACTGCTTATAATTGAACTTCAAAAATTCATTACTATCAATTTTTACTGTTTTACTATTGATTTTTACTTTAGTTTATCCAATATTTTTAAAGTAACGAAAGTAATAAAAAACCAAAAAAAAACAGTAGAAGTAGAAGTTTAAATTTTGTCTTTCTACAGAATGCTTTTAGATATTTCTACATATTCTTTAAAGGTATTCAAATTATGAAAATTTCCGTATATGGCTTATATATAATCTAATTAGAAATTTTCCAAAAACGCAACGAACCTATGTTTATAAGAAAATTTACTTGTCAAGCGTCGCGACACCAAGTACATAAAAAAAATTTCTTCTTGACTTGTCAACAGTTTTGCCTATTATTATTTCCTCGCACGGATGACAAGATTATGAGACGCAGTCGAACTTTGAAGATCACTGATTTAGAAAGATAATCCATGAAGATCGGGACCACATGGCATCAGACACGCATATACTCTCTTATATAGAATACAATCTTGTTTATAGTTCTCTCTCTCTCTCTCTCTCTCTTTCTCTTTCTTTTCGGCATTATCTTGTAACACAAACCAATTCATAAAAACAGAACCAATCGTTTTGTGAATAGAAAATATACTTTATCATTAATTTTGGTATTTAATTTTTAAATTGTACTTTTCATATAACATGCAAAATATCCATATTCTTTGAAATTATAAGTTCTCAGATATATATATATA